AACAACAACAACAACAAATTTATTTAAGCTTAATAAGAAAGTTACAATGCTTGGGCCCGCAAGTAGCTAGGGCTATTCAAGGCAGACACAAGAGAGAAAAATAAAAAAAAAAAGAAAAGAATTTTATAGAAAATGAATATTTACATGTATAATTATAATATATATACAAACGAATGGTGTAGCCACCATCAACATTGTAAGAGCACATGTTGGATGGGTCAGAGTACATAAAAACTGTACCTAATGATGATGATATCTGCCTACTGATGATATCTGCCTACTAGGAGGCAGTGTGGCCGAGTGGTTAGAGTGTCGGACTTGTAATCCGCCGCTCCCGGGTTCGAGTCCCACCCTGACCACTGGATTTGTTTCACGGTAGCCCCGAGTTCAGATCCTTGGCCACGCTTGTAAATAGCCAACTGGTTTGCCTCCGGCCAGTTGGGGTTCTTAATGATGTTCGTAATGATGTTATGTTCAATTTAGACCATTTGTTTCATTTGTTTGCAAGGACCACATTGGAAACTACTGGTTCACCAGTAATTGTGTAATCCTATAAAAAGATTTTTTTCTTTTTTTTTTTTCTCTTTTTTTTTTATTACTGGGCTCAGTATAATTATAAGGATAACTTGATGAAAATATTTCCACAAAACAATACTAACAATATTTGTTTGACAATACTACACCAGAAAATCAAAGCTGAAATAAAATTTTGTAGTTATGAAACCAAAGCTCACATTTCACCCATTTTCTACAGCTCTGAAGCTGGAGCCAACAAATTTAAATGTTTTATGGGACAGAGCAGCTTTGTGCTATCAAATGGGAGATCAAAAGAAAGCTCTGGAATTTTATGAATCTGCTTTAAAGGTAATTTTGCCAGCTGGTCATTTGTTCATTTCATTGGTGGATAAACTCAGTAAACTTATCTAAACCACAGAAAGATGTTTGTAGTAGAAATCCACAAACCAAGATATTTGCACTTTTACTAGCGATTCACTAAAGGCAATTGTATGTAAATGAGTTAAATATACAGAACAGGAAAGCAAAATGAAATACTTGTAAATTAAACAGGCAAAATGATGGACAAAATAATGAAACTTACAAGATTATGTGGCAACTACGATGACTAAAACATAAGGACAAGGGTGACAAGAAAACTATGGTAGAAGAAGCTATGCCAAACAACAAAAACAGTGCATAAAAAATGAACACGAAAATATGAAATGTGACATGACCAAAAATGACTGGTGAACCTGATAAAATAACAAATATACACGGAACAACTGAAAACGGAAAACAATGTACAAAAGGTGTGAATTTGTAAATGAAGGTGAGGTGCCATGACCACAATGTTTTCCAGGTAGTCACGAGTGAGGGACAAAGAAAATTCTGAGTTCCCATGAGGAATCAAACCTCAGACCTTGGATTCCATGCTCCCTTGCTCTACCACTGAGCCACGGAGACTCTATAGTGAGCAAGGCCCATTGTGAAGTTCACATTTGACACATGCCCTGCATACTGCTAGGATCGGCAGTGTCAAAAGCATCATGTTTTTGTAAAGAGCTTAAAACTTACCATCCTACTTATTCTTTATCTAAACCAATTTAATTAGTTGTTGATTATTAATTTTAAGTAATCATGATTAAGAATTCTTATATTTGATCATGAATTCCTGCAGGTTGCTAAGCAGGTTGAAATGTGTTTATACAGTAATTTTCCTTGATTTGTTTTTGGTTTGTTGATATACCACCAATGACAGTATTAAAACAGGAATTTTTACCCACTTGTAGAATGTTCCTACAGATGATGGGGCAAAGTTTGTTGAGTTGTCGTGTGAAATGGCTAAGGTGAGTATCTTTGTTTCGTTAGTTTTTTTCAGTAGGTTAGTTCTCCTCTTCACAAAATACAGGGTCACAAGACTGACATATAACACAACAGTTGTATCAACCAAGAAGGAACAATCTAGCCTGGAAGCAAGCCCTCATTTATAAGGGCTGAGGCATACGGTGTTTGGCTGCAGATAAGCTTTGAGGCCTCAAGCAGGGCTAGTTGGTCAGGGGCTGAAGAAGTCTGTCACTGATAACGAGGTTATTAGTGCCACACCTCTTGCCAGCTAGCATTGCATAAGGTCCCAAACTTTTTCATGGGCAGGGAAATGCTTGTACTGAAGTGCTAATCATGTGGGTTAGTTGGCAGACCATGTACAATTCATAGGATCAAAAAATAACGTTTTACAACTTACGGTTTCTTGGTAAAGAAACCAATTGAAAGAGTTTCTTGTACATTGTCCAAAGTTACTCTTCACAGGAAGTATTTGTGAATTATTTTATTTTGTCAGTTATACCATGAAAACAAGTCTCTGGATGAGGCTATCAGAGTATTGCAGGCTGCACTTTCTAAACATACTGATCATGCAAATAACCAAGGTAAATTGTTTGTTTTCTTGTATGCAACATGACAGATTTAAGAGCTCTTTACCAAATTTACCAAATTTTACTGCACTTTCTAAACATACTGATCATGCAAATAACCAAGGTAAATTGTTTGTTTTCTTGTATGCAACATGACAGATTTAAGAGCTCTTTACCAAATCCATTAAACAATGATGCATGGTAGATGTTTTCACTTGGCTTTTCAGTTGTTTGTTTGTTTGTTTTTCTGATATGGTAGTGTATGACAGTATAGGTTATTTGGTTCCTATTACTGATCATGAACTACATGTATAACGGTGACATGTTTTTTACTGCCAGAAGGAATTTCTTCATCAATTATCATGTGCTTAACTGAAGAACTTAGCTTAATTTGCCACAATGAAAACTACAGATTGTGATGAAAAATGTTGCATGGTATTCTTTTTTACCTGCTTACTATTTGTTTTTAGCAATTAACATGTTGGCTGACCTTCACATGACATCAAAAGATTACAAGCTTGCCTTTGAGGTAAATATGCCTCGTGCTTTATAAGACTAGATATAATTCCCAAAACTTGTCACGCATACAATAAAAATGTGATAAATATACGTCAATTAACGTCATCTTCTGACAGTAAGTTTTGGAGCTTTGTTGTTTTTCACCATTGATTCGTAGCCTATGTGCTTCTTGCTGTGTCCATGTAAAATTGAAGGGGAAATGAAACGGTGCATAAGTCACAGTGCAGACCTCAACCACAGTAAATAAGGGGGATGTTTACTTAACCAAACGTTATTCTCTGAGAGTGAGACTGAGGGCCAAGCTGCTTATTTTACTTCAGTCACTTAAACTACTATCATTGTAAGTTGAAAAGTGTTTGCTATTTATTGCAGATGATTTCAAAGTATTGTGATGTCAAACATGAACTCATGTCAGATGACACAGGGGAATCACCTCTGACGTCATTTTCACAGTTCATGAGTCCAACTCAAGAGAGAAACACTTCAAGATCTCCAAAAAAAGACGGAGATGAACAGAAACGCAACTATATTATACCTGAAGACCTTCCCATTGATCTTCGTGTCAAGTTCGCCGTGTGTCTCATTCATCTGAGGCAGTTACATGCAATTAAGGTATGGCATATGATGATGAAACAAGAAATGACGATTATCGTCAACCTCGTCCCCAGGATTCTCCTCCTTCCTCCCTCGAGAGGGTAAGACAGAGGACCCTGGGAACGAGGTTAAAATTTCATTTTTACCTGTTACAATATAAGATCACAATTTCTTTTCCCTTAAAAACGGTTGTTCTAGTTGTTAATTGTTAATCTAGGTAACCGATCCAGCTGGATTCGAAAGGTTGCTGAGCATTCAGTCTGTGCTGTTTGGGTTTTATCAACAATTACTATTGAGTTAGTTACTTAACGTGCATTAAGAAATCAACCTGTGTTGAGTGGTCATTTTTGCGGAAGGAAGAGTCCGAATTCGGATAGAAGTGTCCGATATCTGTCGAAAATGAGCGAAATCGAACGGAAGTGACCGAAATCGGACCGAAGCGGACGGAGCTCCGCGGATGTCGGCTTAAAACAGGTTTCTCTGTATCCGAGTTGGTCAACACAAGGTATTCAACTTTTTAATTGTTGGATATCGTCTGGCTACTTGTTCGTACTTAATGGGAACGTCATGGATTTGAGTACTTGAGCTTTCTACGCCTTTTTGTTTATTGTTGTTGTTTGTTCAACAGGAGATTCTTGCACCGCTGTTTATGGAGACAGTGGAGTCAGCAGGTGACTTGTATATTGATGTTGCTGAGGCTTATGCAGAAAATGGTGAGACAATTTTTAGTTTTACCTTTATACGAATAAGGTTTGAGGAAACGAGGTAGAGACCAGCTAACACTATTCTTGTTGTTTTCGGATAAAGAATTGATTTGTGCCAATTAAACTGAGAAAAGTTTGGGCTAAATGTGCCAAACAGCAAACAAATTTGCACATGCTACTACGTATAATCGTGGGACCTCGTCGCCTGACCTGGACTAACAGTATAGTAGTCGAAATGTTTGCTCAACAATGGATAGCTTCTGCCTCACAAGACAACGCTGGAACGTTCTTTCAATGTCTATATAATCACAATAAACGAACACACTACTTTTGCCGAGCTAGGATTCTTGTAAAAGTGGACAAGAACAGCTGTAGATAAATTTTGAAACAGTGTGGTCATTACTTATGGATAGTTGCATCAGCACAAGTATTTTAGCTTTATGTAACTTTTTTGTGTTAAATGTTTTGTAGGTGATTGCGAAGAGGCGTTACCGATCCTTGATATGCTGATAGCGACAAAGAATTTTTCCCTGGTAGGTGGTATTTTCCCCTCGTCCTTATATTCTTCCGTGCTTTATCTTTCACGCTGATTACAAATTCCCCATTAGTGCTTGTTGAGCTGAGGTTTTTTTTAAAAAAAAAAAA